GTGGGCGGCGGTTGGCTGTAACTGCTAAGACAGCCACTGCTCGTGGAAACCCCATTCAACAGAGCGACACACTGCCCACATGCTGCCCGGGGCGCCATCCCGGGGCGGGTGCAAAGGGTTTCCACTGGCTGATTATTGAAGCAGAACACGGGCCATTCTTCCTTGTCCATCTTCAGTCAGGAAGCGCCGCTGAAACTTGTTTAGCATTAGAGCCACGTGCTCCCCGGGGGGGAGACGGGTGGTGGCTGCTAGGATGGAACCCTGTCTCCTGCAAGTAAGCCAGAATCCGACCACCAGGTCACCCACTGGTGGTGACGGGTGCTGGCTAATTCTAAACCAGCTCAAACCCGCTGCTGTTGAGTGGTTCCCTACTCCCAGCAAGCCTATGGGTAGAACTACCTCATAGGGTTTCCAAGTCTGTAAATCTACTTCCGTAGTGATACTGCCTTGGAAACCCAAGGAGGGGTCGCTATGAGTCAGGTCCGACTTGACGGCACATAACAACAACAACAAAATCTTTACAGAAGCAGAGTGCCTCATCGTTTTCCTTGGAGTGGCTGTTGGGTTTGAACTGCCAACCTTTTGGTTAGCAGCTCAATGCTTTATTTCACCTCAGTGCCAGCAGATCTCGTGGTCTCCTGCACAGAAGGCAATAATTTTACCACTGTGCCACCACTGCCCCCTGGTGGCGATGAATGGTGGTTAATTCTAAACCAAACCAAACCAGACTGCACTGCTGTCAAGCTGATTCCCACTCACAGCGCCCCTAGAGGGCAGAGTGGAACTGCCCCCAGAGGGTTTCCAAGGCTGACAATCTTTAAGGAAGCCGATGGCCTCATCTTTTTCCAGCAGAGTGGCTGTTGGGTTCAAACTGTCAAACTTTTGGTTAATATTTCATTGCAATTTTGAAGAAAATTTTCACAGCACGTTAGGTTCCTGTGTAGTAACCTGTGTACGTATTATTCAATGACATTGGTGATGCTTTTTTCAACATGCCAGCATTTTCAGTAATTCCATTTGGTTGTTTTGTGGATGGTTTTTTTTTTTTTTTTTTTTTTTCTTTCAGCGTTTTCTGCATTGTTTTTAACCTCAAAGCAAAAACAAAGGAGGCTCAGTGGTGGCCAGCCAATCCTCTCCTTCTCTTTCAGGGTGACTCCGGGGGTCCCCTGGCCTGTGAGGAGACCCCTGGCGTGTTCTACCTGGCGGGGATCGTCAGCTGGGGCATCGGCTGTGCCCAGGCCAAAAAGCCAGGCGTGTACGTCCGGATCACCAGGCTGAAGGGCTGGATCCTGGAGACGATGTCCTCCGACCCCCTCCCCACAGCTCCCCCCTCGACCGCAAGGACACCCACCACCCCAAACCACCCCCTGAGGACAACTGCTGGTCTGGCAGTCTCAGGAGTCACCGCCAGCAGGGCCACCAGCCAGTCTGCCAGCACCACTGTCCCTGCACCAAGCACCACCACTAGGAGACAGACGCCACTCCCAAGCACCCCAGGGACCAGCACACACTCGCAGCTCTCAGGTACCGTGCAGATGGGGTGACACATGGGGGTGGCAGCTCCTGACAGTCACGGAGTCGGCACTGACAGGGCAGACGGCAGATGTCTCCCATTTAAAAAGACAGCTCGACAGGGGTGTGGGGACTCCAGCCAGCCAACTGGTGCTTCTAGTGGCCTGCTGTGTCAGGCACTGTTCCCAGCTCTAGAAACAAACAAGTAGTGTAATGGCAGGGACTTAGGGCTGAGGAGCTCCTGGATGGTGCACAGAGTTAATGTGCTCGGCTGCTGACCAAAAGGTTGGCGGTTCAAGTCCACTCCAGGGTGCCTCGGAAGAAAGTCCTGGCAATCTCCTGAAAAATCAGCCATGGAAAACCCTACGACACCCAGTTTCTCCCTGACACACGTGTCGACTTGATGACAATTTTTTTTTTTTTTTTTTAGGTAGGAGTGAAAAGAGGACAGACAAACCAGGAGGCGCTAGGGAGGGGGGTCAGCAGATATACAGGCTCCCATTACAGGCACGGGACAGCTGTGTGGCCGGTCTCAGGCCGCCGGCTCAAGTTCAGCACAGCCTGGAGATCAGGAGGTTGATGTTGCTCTCGGACGTTGACGGGGCTGTGGGGCTTCGATGGTGGGCTCCCCCT